GCTTTATAAAATATTACTTGTGTAAAATTTATATGTTTTTGTTACTTTCAGCTACTATAAGAAACTTAAAGATAAGATTTAAGTAACCAAAAACTTTATTTCGGGTGTTATTTTATTTATATACTCTGTTTAATTTGGTGGTTAAAAATGGCCGTCCAAATGTTGTCCGAGAGTGTTAGCGCGCACTGCTTCCTGATAAAAAAACAATGATTTCCAAAACCTAAATTATAATTTGTTATTAAGTTATGATGAAAACCTTTGCGTATACAAAATTATAGAGTGAGCAAACATGAGACAGATAGGTTTTGAACCTTTCAAAGTTCGAGGTCGAATTGACAGTTGAAATAGTACCAAACTCCAAGCTGATATGTGCAACTAAATCGTGTATATTTTTGTCAATTTTGTTCGCTGCCTTTGTTAAATTCACTTGCAATGGCTCGACATAAGTTACAACATACAAACTGAGCAGAGCCCATGAAAGAGTTATCCATACCCATACAGTCATTCAGCTTCCTTGCTATTTAGAAATTGTTGCCCATTTTAATAGTTGAAGAAGAATTGCTATTGTATGCGCTTGTTTGCACTTCCTTTCCTAAAAAAAGTCTACAATATTAAGGCTAAATAGCAGAACAATATGACCCAATAATCCATGCAATTAAAAATATCTATCAAATTAACTTCAAAAATCATGATTTGAGGAATTATATCTATTCAGGCAACCCATAATTTAGTGACAGGTCTTGGCAAGGTGAAAGCTGAAAGGAACCCTTAAGATGGGTGTACTACAAAACTATATTGACTGAAGTTTTGGAAACATTTAACTAAATTTTGAAGGATAGACTTGCAAACTGTGATTCAGTATCATGGAATTTTACACTTCTGGAGAAGTTGTGGCTCTGTTAGTGCCATTTCTTTCATTGTTTATATATCTTGCTTTTAAGCATTGCTCGCTTATAAAATCTTTCAATTCCTTAGGGCCTGTTTATATGATCCCGCCTTGATGGGACGGGACGTTTTCATCCTGCCAAGACAGGATACTCGCCTAGTGTTTATATGCATGGACAAAATACATTGCCGGGATGAAACCATTCGGTGCTTGACGTTATATTTTTGTTGCAATAAAGGCATTTACACATGCCCAAAAGGGAAAAATTCATTCCACCTAACCGGGATAAAGTGTTTATATGGGAATTTTTCATCCCGGCTAGGTGGGATGAAGTGTTTTTATATGGGAATTTTTCATCTCGCTTAGGCAGGATCCCGGCATCTGTTGCCGAAATCCCGTCTATGGGGGATAAGTGGCGGGATCATATAAACACTCTTTAGCATTTGTATTACAAGCGGGATCTCGGTAAGATCCCGTCCCGCCTGGCCGGGATCATATAAACAGGCCCCTAATCTCATCCCATGATACTGAATCACAGTTTGTAAGGCCCCATTTACATGAGACCAGGATGAAACCAACCTGGAATGAAAATTGAAATTGCATGCCAACATGTTTACATGAGACCAGTATGAAAATCACAAAATTTTCAATTTATCCCCCTTGCCAGGCAATTTTTTTTTTAGATGACTTTTGTTAGCATGTGTTGTTCACTTGTTCCAATGTCAACATTCATTCCAGTTCATACTGGTCCAAGTCAGTCGACTTGAGACCTCATGTAAACATCTATTATATATAATATAATGACCAAAACGAAATGGTCCCGGTTAATTGACTTCGTTCCAGTCTCATGTGAAATGGACCTAATAAAATCTTTCAAAAGTTGGCTAAATTTTTCCAAAACTTCAGTCAATATAGTTTTGTAGTACACCATTCCCAAGATCTGTCACTAAATTATGGGTTGATTGCCTGAATAGACATAATTCCTCAAATCATGATTCTTGCATGGATTATTGGGTCATATTTTTCTGGTATTTAGCCTTAATATTGTAGACTTTTTTCAGAAAAGGAAGTGCAAACAAGCGCATACAATAGCAATTCTTCTTCAACTAATGGCAACAATTGCTAAATAGCAAGGAAGCTGAATGACTGTATGGGTATGGACTATGGATAGCTCTTTCATGGGCTCTGCTCAGTTTGTATGTTGTAACTTATGTCGAGCCATTGCAAGTGAATTTAACAAAGGCCAGTAAACAAAATTGACAAAAATATACACGATAAAGTTGCACATTTCAGCTTGGAGTTTGGTACTATTTCAACTGTCAATTCGACCTCGAACTTTGAAAGGTTCAAAACCTGTCTGTCTCATATTTGATCACTCTATAATTTTGTCTACGCAAAGGTTTTCATCATAACTTAATAACAAATTATAATTTAGGTTTTGGAAATCATTGGGTTTTTATCAGGAAGCAGTGCTCGCTAACACTCTCTTACAACATTTCGACGGCCATTTTTAAACACCAAATTAAACAGAGTATATAAATAAAATAACACCCGAAATAAAGTTTTTGGTTACTTAAATCTTATCTTTAAGTTTCTTATAATAGCTAAAAGTAACAAAAACATGTAAATTTTACACAAGTAATATTTTATAAAGCAATAGTTTCAGCATACCTTCTGATGGGTCATATACGCGTAGCCATATTTGTTTACAATTAGAACGTCTTACCCCCCGCGAAGCCCGCATCACGGATGGTCCGCTCGATGTATTGGCGTTTCCACGCCCTCTCTCCCTTCGCCCTGCTTTCATCAAATGAGCAAGCATTTATGGAATCTGCACCTGCATACCAAAACGCACTTGACCACAGCAACTTTAATCATGATCTTAACTACACTCAACACGCACCTCAGCAAGCACGCAGAAATAGGCAACGTAATATCATTTGGTTCCACCCACCATTTAGCACGAATGTCAGCACTAATATAGGGCGTAATTTTCTTAAAGTGCCTATGCAACGAAATTTTCACCTCCTTTTTTATCGTTTTTCTAAAAAGTACTGCTGGAGTGATGAAGAATGACGTTTACAGTTTCGTCATATCTCATCTCATTCTCAAGTTATCGCACTTTCTATATTTTGAGTTGTGACGTCACAAGTATGAGTTGAGATAATGGCAATAACAAGAAAGTATGATATCTTGGTGAGTATTAAATAAAATTTAATGAAACTTGGTACACTTAATGGGTGCAACAGAGTCAACAATTTGGCTTATCTATGTGTTTGTTATGGCAACACACTCGTCCCCAGTCCCTTCTCTTCCAATTTCTATATGATCCATTTTCAACGAAATAAATAGCAATTTCTGCAATTTTCGCTTATTACTATAATACGTGTAGGTATTGTGATCAGTTTAAACCGTTATAATATGTAAACATCCTCTTGCAAGAGATCCACGGGAGGAAAGTTGTGAAAGGAAGAGAAGAGACTGGGGACTAGTGTGTTGCCATGACAACCACATGACCTACCAAAAATATTCATATGAGTGCACCCACTAAGTGCACCAAGTTTCATTGAATTTTATTAAATACTCACCAAGATATCATACTTTCTTGTTATTGCCATTATCTCAACTCATACTTGTGACGTCACAACTCAAAATATAGAAAGCGTGATAACTTGAGAACGAGATAAGATATGACGAAACTGTAAACGTCATTCTTCATCATTCCAGCAGTACTTTTTAGAAAAACAATAAAAAATGAGGTGAAAAATTCGTTGCATAGGCACTTTAACCTTATCGACAAGCACTTTCCTTCGCACCACAAGCTACATAAGATCTTTAACAGAAATACAGTAAAAGTGAGTTATAGCTGCATGAGCAATGTTATATATAATTTTAAACTTTTATCAAATCCCGTTGGAAGTACAGTTAACTATGATTGCTATTAAACCTTCGCTCATCCTCCAATGTTAATTTAAACTGAAAGTTCCTCACAGCCTCTGCTAGCCTGCATGGCAGGCGGTACTTAGGAAATACCACCTGCCGCAAAACTGGGTGTAAATGAACTACCGCCCCCACAGGTGGCCCAGGCTCTGTGTGGTTATTTATTTATTTTTTAATTTTATTATATTTTGCATTAAATATGCCTTTAAATTATAAAGTATAACTTACTTAGTTTCCTTTATGTGTTGAGTGTGATTTGGGGGTGGTTTTAGTTTGATATAATATAACATAAAAACATCATGAGAATGCGATATTATATATACACTTTATATATTGTAAAATATTGTAAAAAAATGTCTAAATGCTCTCTGATTCAAAATATTGGCGGACTTACTTGTTTACTGTGTCATCTACTTCACACTCGTCGATTTTCAGGCCATTTCGTTGAACCCGGCCGATATTATCCATCATCTAGTATTACCCACTATCAATAACGCAAAGGTAGGTAG